CTCAATCAACTGACAGAGAAGAAAATGTTCCACTTGAAATTGAATATAATTTTGAAAAAATAAATTCAATAATTATGACTAGCGTAGCTCATGTCAATGAACATCGAGATGAAGATGAGGTTCTTTTTGATTTTAATGTTATTTTTTAATTTCTATTGGTGACAAGAGATCAAACATCGAATGTTGTGCGAGTAAAAATGTCAGTAACGACTGAAGAATTAGTTCGTGCAAAAAAAACACATTGCAGGCCATAAGAAATATATAAATAATGGACGTGTAGTATGCATATTCGGCTATCTTCTTGCCGAGATGAGTCAATACGACAAATGTCAACAACCATTCTGTCGTATGCTTTAGAATCCCAGTGAAGAAGATATTACGTTTATTTACTATTATTTAGGTATTGCCAAATATTATAGAGAAGAGACTATGAAGCAGTCTTAAAATACTACCAAAATTCAGATGACATGTTGATAAACGCTGTACCTTACGTGAGAATGCATTGTCTTTTGTGGTAGATGCTATTGAGTCAATTTTTAAGACATGAAGACAATAGAATGTGACTTTCAATTGCTATATATGTGTACTCTGACTATAAGTGAGACCTACTCGGATTATCGTATTATGGCTAATATTCTGAGAAATACTGTCAATACATATATCGAAAAAAGGCGACTATGATTGTGTGCTAGCTTATCCAACAAAATGTCTTCATATAAAAGTACAGAGTCTTTCAGGTCTTCATAAAGATAGAGCTTAAACATTGAATCATAGTGTTGTCATAATTAGTGATAAAGATGAATTGAATAGTGCTTTGGAGTATCATAAAAGAAGTTTAACAATGAATAAACAATATCTTCCTGTTGAATATGATAGTATTGCGTCCAGTTCAAAACATATTGGGACTATTCTAAATAATCAAGGAAAACACGATGATGCTCTCGATTATTACATGCTTGCTCTCAAAATCAGAGACAATATCTTCCCCAAAACGGACATTTAAGTATTCCTACAAATCTCTGCTATATTGGACAAGTGTATTGTTTAAAAAATGATGATATTCTCCAGTATCTTGAAAAGTCTTTAAAAATGAGAGAGAATCTACATTCTGCTGTTGATAATATTCATTTAGCTGATATTCTAAAATATCTCGATTTATTTCTAATCAAACAAGATCACTGTCAAAATGTATTAATCTATTATTGTGAACATGCTCAGAAAATGAGTGAAACTTTATTTTCTGTTGAATATGCTACTATCACTGATTGTTTGACTAATATTGATATTACTTATTGTAACATGAATAATTATAGTAGTGCATTAGGGTATTTTGAGAAAGCTCTAAAGAACGACGAGTTCAATTTTACAGACTCCAATCTCATTCAATTAGCTTGGAATTATTATAACATGGATATATATTTGTGTCAGCAAGGTGATGATGCAGCTGGATTAATATATTAAATTGAAACTGTCAGAATACTTGATCAAGTACATTCTTATACGCAGTATGTTGTTTGGATAGATATTATTGAAAATTTATTTTTCTTCAAAGAACTACTTGATGAACTGTTCTCGATATCGCTTAGTTTTGGATTGGAATCTGAAGCATCGATATTACATATTCGCTCAAGTTAATTTCGTCAATCGAAAATGTCAATTGATTCGTTTTCAATATTTTGAGCAATAGTGAATTGGCATGAATGAGTGAAATCAATTAGATCTAGCCTGATTTATTTTGCGTTGATTCGAACTTTCAATAGGTTTATTTTATCTTTGATTTCAATGATCATTCTTCGCTTTTCTTCATATTGCTGGACGGAATGCATAAGCATAGAAGTTAGGCCTCGATTCCGGATTTCTCTGGTCTAGAAGAATACTTATATGAAATTATCGTATGAGATATATTGAATTATTCAGCATTTTCCAAAGCGATATATTCATTCATATGAGTTAGGACGATTAATTCAATGATTTCAAGGTTCACTGCTATCGAAATGAGTGTGGATGTCAATGTTGCTGCTACTAAGGTTGACGCCGACGCCACATATACACTACACGCACACCTCACACATTTAAATATTGAGTCTTTGTAGTTTAATTACTGAGTTTTTCAAATTATTTGCTATGTTAAAACTAATGTTTTTACTGAGCAAAAATTACTGAGCATTCATTATATAACGGGTGGGGCATAAAGAACCGACCTCTTAGTATTTTTAACATTTCTCCTCTATTATCCGTGTGATTCAAACATCTTTTTTTTATCAAAAGATAGCGCTTGAAATTCTCTACAAAATCATATGTGACTAGACCTTAAAACTGTTTTAGATGTATCTGAAAAAAGATGAAAAATAAAGACACACAAAAAGCTGTAAAAAGTAACGGGTTGTACATAACGAAGGATCGCGCTTTGTATCTAATGTTTTCATCACTTCACCCAATTAAAAAACAAAATATACCAAAAGATGCAGCATGAAAAGCTCTACAATTTGCATAAGACCACATATTTTATAGTTGCACTTTTTGTTTTCAAACTGGACAAAATTTTGAGCAATCAAATTTCGACTGTGCGAAAATAATAGTTTTTTTGGGTACAAGATAAATTCATTTTTTCTTATTTCATCTTCTTATTACCTGATATGTTTTATTTAAAAAAAAATAAAATACATCACAAGATGCAGCGCGAAAAGCTCTACAATTTACAAAGAACAAATTATAAAAAAGTGAAAATAAGAAAAAACGAATTCATCTTGTACCAGAAAAATATAGCATTTTTGCACGGTCGAAATTTGATTGCTCAAAATTTTGTCCAGTTTGAAAACAAAAAGTGCGACTATAAAATAGAGGGTCTTGTGTAAATTGTAGAGCTTTTGACGCTGCATCTTTTGGTATATTTTGTTTTTTAATAGGCCGAAGTAAGTGATGAAAAAATGGAATGCAAAGCGTGGGCACTCATTAATGTACAACCCGTTACTTTTTACAGCTTTTTGTGTGTCTTTATTTTTCATCTTTTTTCAGATACATCTAAAACAGTTTCAAGGTCTAGTCACATGTGGTTTTGTAGAGAATTTCAAGCGCTATCTTTTGATAAAAAAAGGTGTTTGAATCACAGGGATAATAGAGGAGAAATGTTAAAAATACTAAGAGGTCGGTTCTTTATGCCCCACCCGTTACTATACTAAACAATTAAATACAAGCCGAACAACAACACGCTTCAAAAAAAAACATCCTCAATTGAGTACATGACAATAGTTTTTGATGATGACATATTGATAGTACTGCAAACAATACATGACCTGATCACATACATTTAATCAAGAGTAAAATGAAATGAATAGATTAATGGTAAGATCTCGAGCATTGAAAAACGGAAATGTTGATTGTTGGCATCGCTTGATCTGTTTGAACACTTGATTCCACCGTTCTTTCATCATAATTATCGACTATCATCGCCATATGAACATAGATGAACAAAAAATCATCGCATTTAGATCATTGTACACATCTAGTGTGTAAAATAATTATTTGAACCCCTTGTAATAACAATCTTCTAAAGCAAATTTCATAACGAACAAAGAATATTTTCTCAACTTTTTTTTAAATACTACTCGATAGATCGATGACTCTACTTTATTCAATCATTGTACCTTTATTCTGCATCAAAATATTTCGAGTTATGCCTTATTCGATGGAAAAAAAAGAAGCTTGCTACATGCTGATGTGTTTTATAAACAGCAAAACTATTGATAGAACCTCGAAAACTTCGAAATTCATGAGCTTCTATAGGTTTACAGAGAACCAACGTCATTCAGGTTTGACAAAATGAAAGCTCAACTCAAAATATATCATTCGATAAAGAAGAAAAAACTGAATCGAATCGTATCCTTTATTTTCAAAATAAATTAAAAAAACAAATTATTAATTGCGAATTATAAGTAGTTATTTATATGTCTTCCATTGATATCGTCCATGTAACCATAAAAAGCATTGTTGACGCGTTTGAACGCGTCTGGAATTGAAACAGCCTCAAAGCGCACTGAAATTCATTCATCATGTGGGCGTTTGAACGCGTTGCAAAGTCTTGCGTGCGTTCAGACGCGTTTCGTGACTAAAACGCATCGCAATTTATTTACATTAGTTTTTAAACACGTTGCAAAGTCTTGCATGCGTTCCGACGCATTTCGTGACTAAAACGCATCACAACTGGTTTACACTAGTTTTTTACACGTGTTTCAACGTGAGCAGTTTCGTTTTTGCATCGGAATGCGTTCATAACTGGAAATAATATTAACTTAGACACGTTTCAATGCAATTGCTTTTACTTTTGCATCCGAACGCGCTTATCCGATATGGAACTAATGGCTTTGAGTTCCAGTGATGCATGTAAATGTAGTTTCTCTTTCCATTTTGCATAGGCGAGATGTATTTGAGTGCGTTTCTAGCTACAAGTGCACATAGTGCTATTAATAATGCAGATTACTTCGTCACAATACACGTGACTAGATCTCGAATAGTAAACTGAACTACGTATTTTTTATTCAAAAAAAGCATAAAAATGATATAGCTAATTATATAGACAACGCATTCAAGTCTTACTGCGTTTCGAGTTCTTAAAAAGGACTTTTCTAGATAATCTGTAATTTAAAATATCAGTGGCTAGCTTTTCATGAAACAGAATATAAACACAGATAGTTGGATACGAGAAATCTCATCATATTTGTGTTCATCATATAAAGTCGTGAAGACATAGTTAATCTGTGAAATAGAAATAAATGAGTACACGTATCAAATTTTGAAATGTACAGAACATTCATTCGAGAACGGTATTACAATAATATTAATTTGTTGCATGTCACTACCACCACTTTATTTTCACGAAATCAATTTCGCTCTGGTATAGCACATAGGTTAAACATAGCAATTTGGAGTTCAAAATACTGTTCACCTCAATTGATTTTCCCCCCGTGAATATTTCTTACTTTATACGACTTTAATTCGCTCTTTTTTCAATAACAATTATACCACGGGAAAGCCCAGAATTTTCTGCATCTTCTGGTATATTAATCATAATTACAAAAAAAATAAAAAAGATAAATCATATGGACAAACAATTGCTTACAAGAAAAAAATGATACTTTTTTTTGTACAATTT